TTGTATGGTCCAATAAAAACGTTTAATTAAAATAATAATCGTTAGGACAGATAAAGCATCTTTAAATTCGGACCAACCATAATTTTAAACTCGTGTGTTCACTGATCAAACTTTAAAAATTAATAAACGTAATTTATCGTCCGTTGGGAACGTATAATACATGCGCTAAGGTAGGCTTTTAAGCAACATGCTGTTATTTTATCTGTTAAAATTAGCCTTATGGTTTGATAATTTTTGTACGAAATTCATACTAGTTCAGTGTTACAAATAAAAAGTAGGTTTATGTTTAAATTTTGGTTAACGGGCAAAAGCAGTTTCAAGTGTACCAGTGATTTACACTTTGCGTAGGTATAGAATTTTAGTTAAGTAGTAATATTTTTTTTTTTTTTCTAAAATTTAACATTTGCTAATACGTAGTAAATTTGTTAATTTTAGTTGAAAATGAAAATATAATAGAATTGAGACGATAGGTATTTCACAAAAACCAGAGCAAAGTGAGTGAGTGGTAATAGTATGGATAGTATTATTGTCTACATTAGATCGATTAAAGGTATCTAACTAAAATTAAATCTTAAGATTAACTAACCGAGATAACAATATGAAAGAATATCATGATCTCTTGGTATTGATCATTTCAATACATAATTCAAATTATTATCTAAATTTTATCTTTTTATTAATATAGCATTTATACTTTTTGACAGGTTCATACTGTATATGAACAGCATCAAATTTCAGTGATTGGATGTTATCCTTTAGTAAGAAAGATCACTTTATTTTAGCTATTCTTACTAATTAGTGATCAAGAAGTCAATTAATTATTTTATGCTATGTGGCTATAGAGGATGAATCTTACAGCTGTATCTAACAAATTCAAAGATATCTTTTTTGTGGCTATTTATGATTCTATTTTCGTATATCGACTGAGTCCATATCACAACGAAGATGATACAGATGATACGTCAAAAAAACCATTCAGAAAGCTCAACCGTCCTGTAGATTCAATTTCTCATGATGACGAAGGGGTAGGAACGATTACTGTATTAAAGCATATGATAATTAGAGATAGATGTATTTATTTAAGTTGTTATATATTATAGCAACATGTAATTAATGCTATTAAAGTGGGAGATATCGGATATGAAGAAGTGCTTGTTAGCGTTGATGAATCAGGCGACATTCATGTTTGGTATACTTCAAATCTTGACAGAAATCCGCTATATTTCAGGTGGGATTATCATTAGGTGATGACATATATTACGCTATACCCATTTACTATAGTGTCTTTGGGGAGGGCCAGAAAATACATGTTTTCTTTAGGGGAGGGGGTCTTTTTAAAAAAATGGTTATGTATAAATAAATAAAGAAGGTAAGAAACCTGGGTAATTTTGTCAAAATAAAAAACACGTGTTTTCTGGTCCTTCTCCTTCATAATATGAAATTTTTATTTTTTTTTATTTTTTACCTTCTAAAAAATATTACGTAATATCTACACCTTTCAACTACCCTGAAGAATATAGACATTTATCAAATAATTTTTAGGGAAGGTTTAAATTATATAAAATATATTTGTATAAAATTACTTGATAAATGTCTATACCAAAATGATTATCCTTAATAAATACGTTATCAGTGTATTTTAATAACAATAACAAAATCTATTATCTATAGAAATGATGAGTCTACGTGGGGTATAGCACTTCATGGTCCAAGACGATTATTAGCGGTCAGTGCTAATTCGCATGAAATCACAATTTTTAACCTACAATATGGATTACAACCATCAGTGAAATTTCCTAATAGTAAAGACATGAGTTGCAAGCCAAAATATTCACTTCGTGGTCATAGACATAATATTCCTAATATATCGTTCAGTTCTTGCGGTCAATTTTTGGTTTCATGCAGTATTGATCAATCATGTCGAATTTGGAATGTTAATACAGGTCAGACTATAACTTTCCGGGAAATTTCTAGTGAATGGTAAGATTAAGGAATCCTATCTCATTAATTAATAAATACTGTATATTATTTACAATTTATTTTACAATTTCAATAGGGGTTGGTCTGCAAGTTTTGTTTCTACGTCAAATTTCAAAAATTCGAATCGCGTCATGTCACGGGATTGTCGTAAACGCAAAGAGCCACGAAGTCATACTAATCATGTATCCGAAGAATCAGAATCAGAAAGAGATAATGAAAATCGTAGTGATGTATCGACAGTTTTACATCCTGTAATCCCAACTATCAGATTTTTAATTTCGGACACCGAATATGAAGATGGATATGATGGAGCAATCGAAACTGAGAATGAAGAAAACGAATATAGTTATTCTGATACTCAAGAAACGAATCAAGATAACGAAAACGTTTCATCAGATGATTCAGATCATGATCATAGCTCGCGTACTCCAATTCCAGATGATATGTTTGATGATGAATGGTCACCAAGCGCCGAGACTCAAGATATATATAGTGATAATTCTAATATTCGAAATGATGAAATGTCATTATCTGAACAAACGGAAAACGAAAATACCTTAACATATTCACCAAGATATCCGTCTCCCATTGTTTATGTCGGTCATTTTCCATCAATCCCAATAGCACAACAAATTCTACCAGAAATTTACTTCTCTGGTAATTCCCCTGCACATTCCACAGGTATAACATTAATAAAGTTTTATTATTACGTGAAAAATTGTAAACGCTGAAACAAAAATGTTTAACTAGCGACGCCGCATTATATGCTAGAGCCAGATTCTTCAATGACACCTGGTCTCGGACAAAATTCACCACATATATCACCGGCGACTTATTCACTTCCACAGCTGACTTCATCAGTTAACGACATTCCAACATCTCAGGAACAAGTAGCTACAGCATTTTCATCATCCTCCTTTAATTCTGAGCATATTAGATCGGAATCACCAGTTTATTCTCCGATGTCGCCGGAGTATTCACCAAATACGAACTATATCCCAGAATCACCGCATTATGGCCCAATGTCGCCTCAATACACACCCACATCTCCAAGCTATAATCCCACATATGTACGTCCAAGAGCTCAAGACTTTTTTGATGATATTTCCAATAATTCATACGAGAATGAGCAACCGTACAGGTTATTGTTTATATCATAAATTTACTTTAATTAGAAGACTTAATAATTATTTACAGTAATTTTATAATGATTCATAATTAAACGTCTAAAAGTCATTTAGATGACCTTTTTTATCTATCACAATCCTTTGACCGGAGAATGACGGACCGAAATATGCCGTTTTTAATGGATCATTCGGAGACGTATAAAATGCAAAAAGGACGAGTTCCTAAGATATCTCAAGACCTCGTATTATTTGGCACAAAGCATGACTTATTTCTTCTCGATCCTAAGTCAGGTCTATCCATTCTGAGTTCATTACTGAGCGTTGTACGTCGGAGCGATCCTAGAAGGGGAAGAGATTTAGATATGAACGATCGATTAAATATGGTTGAGGTAACGTTATTCTTATCTATCTACATTCTGATTTTTATAGTTATATACATGCATTCTGAATGTTTCACCATAATAATACAGTATATCCCAGAACTCTCGCTTGCAATAGTTGCAAGTCAGAAAGGAAAAGTTGCACTGGTTAGACTTCTCAGGTAAGTTATTTAATACTATAGTTGCTCGACGAAACTATGTGATGCTAATCATCACATAGCCACGAGTAGTAACATGTGAATTCGC